TGCTCGCACGTTGCCATTCCTTTTTAATATCTTAGTACGTCCGTACTTAGAGTATGGCAACGTTATCTGGGGCCCGTTCGGCAAACTGGACCAGAAACGGCTGGAACGAGTTCAGCGACGAGCTACCCCGGCTTGTCTATGAAGTGAGGCGCCAGCCATACCCTGAGAGGCTTAGACTCCTTCAGCTGCCCTCACTGTACTATCGTCGTCGCAGGGGAGGCATGGTAACAGTGTACCAGCTATTTCACGGAGGCATGTCGCTAATCGGAGGAGGAGTTCCTGACAAGGCACAACTCGGAGGTAGCGAGAGGACACCAATGGAAGCTCAGAAAACCTCGAGCTAGGACTCTCGTCCGTCGCAACTCATTCAGCACGCGGGTTGTCAACGACTGGAACGCTCTTCCACACCCGGTCGTGTCGTCGACCCTCAACTGAACAGTTCAAGGCTAGGCTTGATACGCACTGGGCTGACCTCATGTACGACGTCCCACACTGAATCTTCCCATAATTTGAGACTGTTGGTTACCGGACCGGGAGCCTGACGAGACGGGACCTACAGGCCTAGTGGCCTTTTACAATTCCCGATCACCATAAGGTAAGGTAAGGTAAGGTATGACGTTGAGAAGCTACTCATCTGCCGCTCACCTCGGACTGGACTTTTCAAATTCAATGATATGCTCTCTTATCGTAAATCCAAATTGCAGATCAGATCCGTTCAGATTGCCTGTTTATCGGCCATCCATTCCCTCCAAAAAACAAACTTTTGCTGGTATTGGTGAGGAGATAAAGGACTGTGAAAAAAATATTCGTAAGACGTTGAATATGGTGTAACTAAATACCTTATAATTTGGCGCATGCTCGACACATACGGACGGTACGGAGTGTGATCCAGTAGTATTCCTTTAAAACGAGCTTGTTGGAGAGGTGCCGTCGGTTAGGCCCAAATTCGACCAGTTGTGCCTATTTGCTATAATTATGAGCACATCTGCCCTTAAGCAAGCTCTTTTATTGCTGTTGGGGAGACTTCTGTGCGTCGAAGGCTTAATGTTCCAACTGCATCCCAACAATCATAAGTGCCTTGCTGAAAATGTGCATGCCAAAACGCTCGTTACTGGGGAATATGAGGTTTCCGAAGTCCCAAACCAGGTGGTACATTTTCAGGTAAGCAAGGGCTGGCTGCATGCAGTACAAATTTTCATGCTTGCTTCATTTTAGAATGCTCATATGTGGAAGCATGCTCATCTGCTGGACAGATCAGTCAAAACATATGGTTAAGTCTCATGCAGATGGCGGGTTCTTCCGCATGCCATTTTTTTATTATCATTGATATATATATATATAATATATATATATATATATATATATATATATATATATAATATATATATATAGTATGATGTATATTATATGTATATATAATGTATATTATTATAATTAGTAATGACTGATGAAGTAGTCCAAATTATCATAATTAGTAATGGGTGGGGCTGGTCTTAAGTGATCTAAGTTATTTATTTTTGTTGTTTAAAGTATTTCATTGATATATTTCAGCATGCACAGCATACTCACAACTGGCCTACTAATTTAGACAATGAACAGTAATCACCATCTTCAGATTTTAGGAACTGTGTACATGAGACCTTTTTGAAGAAAAGTGGTATTGTATGGTGACTTTTAGGTACAATAGTGGGAGAAGGCTGTATATGTCACAATGTCCTACATGTAGTGAGTGGAACACAATTCAATCATGGCCATTTTTTAAGAAAAAAAGGCACTTAAGCAGTCCACTATTCCCATGCAGAACATAGTGGATAAAACATCATATTTTCATTGTTTATGTATATGCAATCTTTTTGATCCAAATTTGATGGTTGCTCCAGCAGCACTGCTTGGGATAGATCTGATGCTTCATCTGATCTGGTTGGATTAGGTAGCTATTGTGCTAATAGCATGATAATTAAGCCAAAAGATCCAGGCTTTGCTTTTTGTGACAGAGCTCAAATCCCTGACATCTGTTTTCCCCCCATCCCCACATCTGCTGATGTGAACTTTTGCTGCTAATTATCTGTATATTAATAAGCAGATGCTTGCAATGTGTGTAATTCTAAAGGAATATTGGTGCCAACCAAAGATAATCACTGAATGATGTTTTTAAAAAATAGTCAAACAGGCCAACTAGGACATGGGGGAAAATGTGGCATTGAGATGCAGATGGCAGGTGGTAGCTTACTACCCTGGCCATGGGGCAGGCTAGCCTCTTCCTGCAGGCCAGGTTTTGGAGCCCTGGCCCAGGAGAGGGATGTAACCATGTGGTCTGTTGGTTAAAGGATACCTGCCATTTACTCAGGCTTATCAAGGCTTTTTTAGTTATTTGACATGATATAGGTATGCTTTCAGGTGATTGATCAAGATAGCCATGTGTTGGCCAATCGGCAAGAGGCCAAGGGGCATGGGAAGTTTGCCTTCACCACAGATAAAGACACAAAGTTTGAAATCTGCTTTGTTTCAAGTGTGCAAGCAGGTATGTAACCATATTTATGAAAACCATGCTGCATTTGCATTCACTATGATCTATATTGTAATTACATCAAATAGATAAGTTTCTTTTATGTTGATTTGTATTATTTGTATGCGGTGTCAGCATTCATTTGGGTCATTAAGGAAAATTTGGTAAACTGTTTTGACATCTAAGCATGCAAAAACTTTTCTTATTATATCAAGGATAGCAATGGATGGTGTTTAGGTACTTAGGTACAGTATGGCTGGATTTATCCATGTGTTGTAATTTTTGAAGTACTTTTCAAAGCTCTTGGCTGGGGAGTTGGTCTTTCTTGGTACTTACTTGCAAGATCTGCATATGTGATTTGAAACACTGCTTTTGTGAAAGCCATAGGATCTCATCATCAGAGATGCATCATAGGCTCACAGAAACGATAATTTTTTATCAGGATGTGATGTGTTCCAATTGCAGGACAGTCAGGTCTGGTTCATGACATCACTCTTACAACCAAGCATGGTGTGGAAGCAAAGAGCTATGAGGGGGTAAGTTATGGATTTAAACTTGATAGAGTTTCCATGGATAAGTATTTCAGTCTCATAATCACTCAGTATTTTAGGTAAGATCCCTAAGATATTTGTTCGAATTTTTGGCTTTAAGGCAACATGAAAGTTGTTGTTTTGCTTTTGGTTTGCTTATCTGCACTTGAAAATCCTTGAAAAGGGATAATTCAGACAGTTTTTCTGTTTCTCTGAGATTTTTTTGGGCGTTCTAATGAACAATGACCTTATGAGCTCCCTCAATCTTGGAAATCATATGTGCATGTGTGACAAATGCTACTCTGCTGAGTGATTGCTGAGTTGCCTTTGCTTACGCGATCTTTCGGTGCCTCTTTGCTGGCGGTGGTCGCGCTCCCACTGCCGCTGGCCCGACCAGATCTCGGTGCGAATCGTCGTCAGACGCCTCACATCTGACCTAACCTGACCTGACCGCGGCAGCTGGCCGACGCGGCCAAGCTGAAGCCGCTGGAGATGCAGCTCAAGAAGCTGGAGGACCTGTCAGAGGCCATCGTGCAGGACTTCGCCTATATGCGAGAGCGCGAGGAGCAGATGCGCGACACAAACGGTGAGCTGCGGGTCTTGTCAGCGGTCGCGCGAGCACGGTCCGGAGGAGGACGGAGGACGGAAGACAGAGGACGGTCCTCCCTCTGTCGCCAGGTGCACCTGCCAGCATCAGTTGGAACAGAGATTACATGTGGTTAGACCCCAGCTGATCGGCTTCGACTACGGCGAGTCGAGCATGTCAAGTGACGAGCTTACTAGGGCACCTCTCGTTCACAGAGTCGACCAGCTCGCGGGTGATGTACTTCAGCCTGTTCGGGCTGTGCTGTCTGCTCGGCCTAGCCACATGGCAGGTGTTGTACCTGCGCCGCTACTTCAAGGCGAAGAAGCTAATCGAGTAGCGGGAGGCGGTACGGGAGGTCGTCCGAGTCCGTCCGGGTTTGGGCTGTGTGGAGTCCGGCACCGGACTGTGCGTCCGTCCTTCTGCCGTGTGCCGGCGTGTGCGCAGCATGCCACTGTCGCGAGCACCCGCCGACTTACACGCAAAGCGGTGCCCGCTGGCTAGCGGGCGAGAGCAGATTGGGGAGCGCGTGATAGCGGTCGTTTGTTTTGCTTTAACGGGAACCTTCCTGGGAGCCGTCACGATCGTCTCTGTTTTGTCAAGCTGCTGCTTTCTTGTTTGCGGGTTGTCACTTGCGGTCGCAGGCGTGCAAATATGGGGAGTTTGTGGTGCGGTGCTGTTCGGCTCATCCCTCGGTGCGAGAGGAAACGCGCCGGAACTGGGCCGGCTCAACAAATACAGCCGAAAGAATGATACAAATGTATTTGCGTATGTGCGTCACATTATCATGCTTCCGCCCACTCCACGTACCCGACTGTCGCCACTGATGCCGCCTGCTGGCCGTCCGGCCGACCAGAGCGTCCGGCGGCAGGCGAGAGGTGACGCCGCCGCGCCGGCCCAGCGTTACCTCGGCGCCCGCACACCCACACAGACGGATACAAGGCGCGACGGCTCGCGGGCCGCGCCACCCAGTCTGCGGTACACAAGCCGGTGCGCGTGCGCGTCCAGGGCACCAGCGTGGTTACGGACAACTGCCAGAGCTCGTGCTGTCTCGATCGGCGGCCGGGCCGGCGTGGTCTCGGCCGCGGGGCCGAGCCGGCCGACCGGCGCGAGGTCAGCCGGAAAGGCCGTCTCAGGGCGCCGAAGCGAGCAGGACACGGCAAACCCGGCACCGCCTCGACGCCCCAGGTAATACAAGCAAGCCTCGCGGCGTCACCGCCGGCAGCACCCATACAAAACCTACGGAATGCTACGCCCGCCGTCTACAAAACATATCACACGCCAGCAACGAATCGTCGAACACCATTGTAAGAAAGACACGGTTTGCAAGCCTGGCCGGCTAAGTCCGGCCGAAGCGGACCACGTCACGAGAAAAGCCACACTGCCGCCTGCGGTGGGGCCCGCGCCTGTCTGTGCGGTACGAGACTGGCGCTGGGCGGCGCGCCGGCCGGACCGCCTCGGCTGTCCTCCACCGGCCTTCGCCCCGCGCGGCTCCCACCCGCCGGTGCTGCTCCGCGTCAGACAGCGCGCGCGCGCGTCCCCACTCTCGGCCCGGCGCCGACCGACCGCACCGCTGCCGCGTCGGCAGGCCTTCCAAGACACTGTAAAACTCACACCAGCGACGACCCGCACACCCGACCGTCAGCCTCACGACTGTCACCGCCTCACTCGCTGGCCGAACCAAACCGTCACCTAGCAATCTTCGCCGGTCCGTAAAGCTCACGCCGGGAACGGCTCGTAAACACAGCCCTCACTTGTCCGTCCTCCGCCTGCCTCCAAGCCCGCGCTCTTCGCACTGGCGCACCACCCCGCCAGCTGAGCTCTCGCCCGACTCGGCGCCCGTGTCGGCCGCGGTGCTGCTCACTCGGCCGCCTTCCACTTGTCAATCGCCTCGCGCCGCGCGTCAGGCGCCAGCTGATTGCGCATGCCGCCCAGCACGTTGCTGGTCGCCTCGGAGACCAGCAGGATGGGCTTGACGACAGTGGGCGGGATCTGGCGCAGAACGCCACCCACGGCGCCCGACACGCCCTTCTGGTCGTGCTCCTCGGCCGCCACGCGCGCCAGCGTCTGCGCCGTCTCGCCCAGGCCCTGCCGGCCGGCCGGGTACCGGTCACACGCGCGCGGCGAGGAAAGCTCAGACAAGTGACGACGCGAACACAGTGGTCACCGGTGTTCCAGACCGCGGCAGCAGCCGTAGTCCGGCAGGAGCACACCGCTTACTAATGAAGTCATGGGACAACAGCCAAACGACGCGGACCCCTAGGCTGAGTTTTCATCTACGGAAACCAAACGTCGTTGACATTTCAAAAAGGACATCACCACGCGCATCGCACCAACACACACAAACCGCGCACACGCAAGCACGCTCACACACAAACACGCACACACACACACACACACACACACACATATAGCCACCCCGGCCCCGCAGTGGTCAGTGTCCTCCCCGTTTGAGCGGCTCTCGCTGAGGGCGGGGGACGGGGGGCTCACCTCCTTGACCAACTCGTAAGCGTTGGTAACACCCTCACGCAGGTCCTGCGGCAGGTTCGAGGTGCGCCGCCGGCTCCGCTTCTGTTTGCGCTTCTGTCGCACCGACGGGCCGGGCGACATCATGTCGTACGCGAACTCGGAGGCGCCCTGCCGGCCGCCGCACGTGTCAGCGCAGCCCCAGAGGAAGGCGCCGGGCAGGGGTCAGAGTCACAGCTGGAGCCGTCACTCCGCCACGCGCCCAACCTACGGTGCCGTCACTGAGGCGGCCCTCCTCACCGTCCGTGCACACGCGTACACCAACGGCTGACATTCGCTCATGTGCAACGCAAACCAGGTGGCTTCGGTCCCCGCGTGGGGCCCGGGTTCGAACTCCAGTTGAACTATGGCCCGAGAGCTAAAATGATCTCTGCAGTCCCTGGCGCGTCATGAACGGTTGCACGACGAAGCGTGGCGCGTTGTTCTCTTAAATCCGGATCCGGCTGCCGGCCAGCCGCCCAGTATAACGCTGGCCCGCCGCCGTCGCCGCCGCCGACCGACCTGGATGTAGCCGACCAGCCGGTTGGTGAGCTCCAGGAAGGCCATGGCGGTGGAGGTGGAGAAGCTGTTGGCGCCACGCTGCAGACCCTTGACGATCCTGCCGTCCTTCTGGTACTGCTCGATCGGAAGCCAGAGCAGGTCGCGGATGCCCTGGACTGGGGGCGGGGCGGCGGGAGGAGAGCGTCAGCCACGGCCGCCGCGCGCCATCCGCCACGCCGCCCCCGGCTCGGCCGGCCGAGCAGCGAGGCTCGAGTGGCACGGACACGACACGCATGCCACGTACACCACCGACAACCCGGAGACAGGTGACGAACGAGCTCAAGAGGCAGTGACAGGCTACGAACGCCCTTGAGAAGCAATGGCAGGACGACACGGACGGCGACGGGAAAGCGACCGCAAACCGCTAGCGTTTCGCGGCGGTCCGGTGACCGTCGCGACAGGTACGAGTGCACGCATGACCTGGAGCGCGGCGGTACGAGCCGCGCCACGTGGCCGCCGTGGCAGTGCGCTGATGGGCAGTACAGCCTGCGCCAGCGGCAACGGTGACAGAACGAACCCTGCCTCGCACCCGCCAGGCCATGGCTTAGGCAAATCAGGGATATCAACAACACCAAGGACGTAGCCTAGGGGAGAAAGACATAAAGGCAATACCAATACCCCTCCCCCCCCACCCCCTCCCCTGAGTCAAAAGGTTGAAATTAGAAACTGGGTGATTTCGCAGGAATTCGAACTAAAATCGCAGGCATTTTTAGAAAACTCGATATCTACTATACCCCTGTAGAAAATTCTGGCTACGAGCCGGAACAGCACTGAAAACGACTAGGTGCCTGGCGGGCTGGCAGCCGGCAGCGCCTGGCGACTGGGCACAGCCCGGCTGGCGGGCTGGCAGCCGGCGGCGCCTGGCGGCTGGGCACAGCTCGGCTGACGGCCTGGCAGCCGGCGGCGCCTGGCGGCTGGCGGGCTGGCAGCCGGCGGCGTCCCCACAGCCACTCACACAGCTGGACGAACGAGTGCAGCGGTCCGATGCCGCCCAGCAGGCTCGGCAGCTGGTTGCTACGGATGTCGGTGAGCCACTCGTTCAGCGCGAAGTGCACCAGCCGATCTAGGCCCAGCAAACTGCGGAGACGGGGTACGGTCAGCACTGCCCCGGCTCGGCTGCGCACGCAGAACAGTAACTCGGCATCTGGAGATGACATCGAGGGCGGCTGCCACGAAAGATGGTTCAGTACTGTGTGGGAGCAGTATTACCCACGGCAGGCAAGCGAGGGCTCCCTGGTCACGAATCGGCAATGCGGATCGGTGGCACGCGCAAAATCTGTCCCGGCTATATTCTGGGCCAAAGCCTGGGTCACGCAGTCACAGGCTCTGACTGTACTGAATCAGGGCTGTACTGAAAATTCCAGTCCCGGACAGGCTCTCATGGAGCAGTTACCAGCTTCCACAGTCAGTGATTCGATAGCAAAGATGGCGGCGTGTAAGCAGGGAAGACAAAGTTCACCCGTCAATCGAAGCAGGACGGCCGTCCCCTTTGATCAGATCATGGCCTCCTCTTGAGAACACATCAGCAAACGCGCGCAAGCTATCATCGCCGAGAACACTGGAGCGTCACCACGCAGCGTTCTCTGTCCGGTCACGGCCGCCCCGCCCCGCCCAGGCCGGCCGCGCGCCGGCCGTCTCACCCGCTCTTGTGGCTGATGCGCTTCAGCCGAATCTCGGAGCAGTTGAGCTGGCCCAGGCCGATGAGCAGGCCGATCAGCGGCCCAAACTGGCCGATGTCCACCCGCTTGCCCTGGTAGTCGATGCGGATCAGCACCTCCGGCGAGAACGTGAACGTCCTGTCGGCAGGCGCGGCGCGCGCGTCACGGCCGGCGCGTGCCGGGGGTACGCCGCACCGGCGGCGCGCACGCCGCTGGGGCGAGCTCACGCGGAGACGGGAGGGCTGCAGGGTAGCGGCCGCCACGGACGCCGCTGGGGCGAGCTCAAGCGGGGACGGGAGGGCTGCGGTGCAGCGGCCGCCACGGACGCCGCTGGGGCGAGCTCACGCGGAGACGGGAGGGCTGCGGTGTAGCGGCCGCCACGGACGCCGTTACTGGGGCGAGCTCACGCGGGGACGGGAGGGCTGCGGTGTAGCGGCCGTCACGAACGCCGCTGGGGCGAGCTCACGCGGAGACGGGAGGGCTGCGGTGTAGCGGCCGCCACGAACGCCGCTGGGGCGAGCTCACGCGGAGACGGGAGGGCTGCGGGGTAGCGGCCGTCACGGACGCCGCTGGGGCGAGCTTACGCGGGGAAGGGAGCGCTGCGGTGTAGCGGCCGTCACGGACGCCGCTGGGGCGAGCTCACGCGGAGACAGGAGGGCTGCGGTGTAGCGGGCGTCACGGACGCCGTTGCTGGTGACGCATGAGGGATTGTGCACAGCTCCGTGGAAGTGCCGCCCTGCAGCCGGCCAGGGAGCCGCGCTTGACTCTGACTCGGACACTGCTGCATAACGACCGTGTGCTTTCATTCTTTGGTCGTTCAGGGAATTTAGTTATTATTTGTAGTGGATTTTGTACTGGCGCCAGGTGGTAGTCTACAAAAGACTTTCGCAGCGTTACACAACTCTTAAACGCCCTAGCTTCACGATTCGGATGACGTTCGTTGAGGTGTTATTGAGCATCTCGATGTTGTTGCGCAAACAAGGAATTTCACGTGACCAAGAATGACGACACCGGAGGCCAACGACCTGACAGCCAGCAGCTGATGCCGTCAGTCCGTGATTAGTTGGATGCAACATTTTACGCAGCATGACGCGAGGGATCGAAACATTTTCTTTGACAGAATTGACGCTTTCAGCACTTCAAGTCAATATCATGACCGCGTCCAGCGCACGCAATCTAATCATGCTCTTTCCGATAAGCACATCAAATGAAAGTCTATCTTATAGCGCTGTTCACGGTCTGATCCGAGGCGGTCAACATCAGACGGTAAGTGGTCTCGCTGCGGCGTCACCCATCGTATCAGCCCATCACAGTGGTGCACGAGCGGCCCGAGAGCTGCAGACCGCGCCGCGATCTTTCCCCATACCCCAGGACACCGGACGGGCGCCCACGATTGTAGGCTGTTGAGGCGTCCCGGAACCCTGTGACGAGCGCCGCGGAAACAGGCCGAGCCCATCCGACTCGTCACGATGTCCCGTCGACCGGCCGGGAGGCTGCCGCTCTGGTGACGTCACACAGGCACGCCCCGTTGCCATGGTGACGGCGTCGCACTGCCGCGGCCCGACCGCCGGCCGCCGCGCGGCCGCTCCACCTGCCTGAAGAAGATGGGATGCTGCTCGGCCGGCCGCACCGCGCCGGCCGCCGGCTCGGCCTCCTCGTCCTCGTCCTCGTCCGGCTCGTCCTCGCCGGGACCGAGCGGCGCGTCCTGCTGCGTGATGGAGAGCACGGGCGCGTCCGAGTCGGGCGAGGCGGCCCGGCCGCTGCCGCCTGCGCCACAAGACACACACGGCTGTTACCAGGGTGAGGGGCGCCGCCGTGCGGTGTCCGCAGACACCACGCCATGGCACGCGCTTGCAGACGGTGGCATGATGCCGGCGGATCCTGCTTCTGTCGCCGACGATCACTGATCAGCACAAATGGAGGAGCATGGCGTCTTGGGGCAGAAGGAACATGTGACCCCGGTTCGTTGTGCGTGCTAACATTGAGCAGTCCTTCCGAAAACAAGCGCCTCGTTTTAAGTGATACTGATAGCCTTGCAATACAATCTTCAATTAGACATTCAGGCTCAAGAAATGCTTGAGCCTTCACGACACTGCTGTCCTCTGAACATACCAAAGCCGCACACTATCCCCCAATGCTGCTAGCAAGGCATCAGGACGACAGAGCAAGCCAGGTGGGTGGCCGACCGCCACGAGTAGGCGGCGGCAGGCTGGCGGGCCGATGAGCGCTATCCCGCAGCAAGGGACCACGGGCCGGCTGACGGCTTCCGCGGGCGTCAGCTCACACCACGGCCCACCACCGCACACGCCTCACACCGCGGCACACAGCTGACGCGCGGAAATGCCCGCACAAACATACCAGAATCACAGAGGCGCACGGCAGCCCCCCCCCCTCCCTCCCCACACTCTCCTCTCAGGTCACCTGACCCCGTGAGAGGCCAACGCAGCCCCCGTCTGATCACGCGGCCCGGCCACGCACCCGGCTCGCCGGCCACGGCCCGGAAGAAGTCGCGCAGGAAGAACAGCGCGTCCTGGTCGACGTTGAGCCGGATTGGACAGAGCGAGAGGCGCACGTCGCACTCCTCGGTGGCCACGGCCGGGTCCGGCCGGCGGCACAGGGCCTTCAGCAGCACCTGGCGGAAGCGCCGGCGGTCAGACCTCATCCCGCCCCAGTCGGCCGGGCGCCGCCGGCGGTCAGACCCCATCCCGCGCTAGTCGGCCGGGCGTCGCCGGCGGTCAGACCCGACCCCGCGCTAGTCGGCCGGGCGCCGCCGGCGGTCAGACCCGACCCCGCGCCAGTCGGCCGGGCGCCGCCGGCGGTCAGACCTCATCCCGCGTTAGTCGGCCGGGCGCCGCCGGCGGTCAGACCCCATCCCGCCCCAGTCGGCCGGGCGCCGCCAGCCGCGAGCGTGGCCACGCCCCCGCAGGTACAACCCAAACATCACAGGCCCCTTTCAGGACCTGGCAAACTGACTATATGGACGCAGCCCCGCAGCCAAGCAGCCAGCCAGGCAGCGCGCTCGCCTTAGAATACGCAGGCAACCGCCGATACCCAGGGCCTCGACACAGCGCAGACTGACGCCTTGACGGCTGCCGCGGCCGGAGCCGAGGACGGTAAGGTCGTTAAGTCCCAATGACATGACATGACGTGAGGGCGGTGGCGGGCGGCCTCACCATGTTGGAGTGAGCCTGGCGCGGGCAGCTCTCGGACGAATACTGGTACAGGAACTTGTTCATGTCGGACGAGGTGATGCGGTCCAGCACCTCCACGTCGTTGGCGACCAGCACGAGCCGGCGCGCCTCCTCCGTGTCCTCGGGGTACTCCTCCAGCTGACAGCGCGCCTGTCGGCCGGCGGCAGCGGCGCGTCACACCGGCACCGGCGGCCCCGCTCCGCGCGTCTTCTCGCCTCGCCGCGGTCACCCACGAGCGTCACAGCTCCATCCGCCCCCCCCCCCTCCCTACCCCTCCCCTCCGCACAGCCCGTGTCTTTACGTCGCAAGACTCGATCCCGCCCAGAGGGCAGAGCGGCGCGCGTCCCCGGCCTGCTCGGTTCCCACTGCCTCCGACCGCAGGCGTCCTCCCCGCCGGCCCCCGCCGTGTCATCAACACAACGTGCCCCGCGCCGCCGCCGGAGCCCGGCCGGCGGCGCTACCTTGCTGAGCCGCAGCTGCATCATGGTGTCGGCGTGTCGGCCGGGGCCGCCTCGGCGCCGGGCGGCGGCCGCCGCGGTCAGCGCTGGCGCCTCGTCCTCGGGCGAAGCGAGCGTGCCGAACCGCACCTGCCGGGGAAACAGCTGCAACAGCCGAACACGCCGTCAGCCGCGCCGCGCGCGCCGCCAGCTGCCGCCGCCGCCGAGCCGGGCCGAGCCAGCCACGAGATCACAGACGTGCGCCAGGGGGACCGGGGACGGGGAAACGCATGCGCAACGGCAGACGGGCCGCGTGATCTTACACCGAAACCGTCCGAAACAAACGGGTCGCTGAAACTCTAACAGTGTCCGTTGAGACGGACCAGTGCACCTCAGCTCACATTCTGCTATCGAGCACATGAAAGGCACCGTGCGGTGAGAGAGGACGCATTCTTGGACGGGTGGCAAGACGTAACACGTGCGTATCTACTGCAGACCATCCGTGTTAGACCCAAACCCAGTACGCAGTTCGGTTTTGTTCTACACATACCACGCGCCTTACAACGCCACCACAGAGCAAACAACGATTAAGAGACCACAGCTTATCACCCCCGACAACAAAGTGGAGATGACTTGGCGAATCGCACACCCCAGACTTATCCAAGAAAAAGGACGATTACCAGCGGGCATTATACATTCAATTGGTGGATGCAAAAAGCAACGTTTTCTCGCCATTCCCATGACTGTCAGTACAGCAAGACCGCCTCATCCAATGGTGAAGACCGTCATCAGGACAAGCTGCCCGTCCCCTCCCCCAGGGAGCAGCGAGCCGCCGCCGCCGCCAGCTGCGAACCGCACCTGCTGTGCGCCGTGTTTGCTGAAGGCCGCCTGAAGCGGCGAGCCGGGAGCCGCCTGGCCCAGCCGGGCCCGCGGGCTGCCCGGTGGTGTGGCGGCCGGCGACTCGATCCGTACCTGCCGGCGCGGCAGCGCTAGCGTCAGCCGGCGCTGCCCACACACGGCCGCCGGCTTGGCGCACGCACCGCCGCCCACAAACGGCGACGGCGGTGACTGTAACACACTGCTCGCCACCGCGCGCGTGTGCGGGTGTGTGTGACTGGGCCACTCAGTGGTGTCAAGGCCACCCGGCAGGTGTCGTGCTGGAGCCGAAGCGCGTACACCACGTGAGGATGGAACACCACGCCGCCTGTTGCTCCGGTCATTGTAAGTTCAGCGGTTGACATCCATCCCCGCGATCACTGTATGGCTCATCCCAGCTCCTGCGCTCCTCCAGACAACGTAACAGCGTGAGGCGGCTGCTCCCCGCGCGGATGGCCCGGCTCAGACTCTCCCCCCGACAATGTAACAGCGTGAGGCAGCTGCTCCCCGCGCGGATGACCCGGCTCCGACGCTCCTCCAGACAATGTAACAGCGTGAGGCGGCTGCTCCCCGCGCGGATGACCCGGCGATGAGCGGCCCGCATCGCTGGCCCGGCTCAGACGCTCCCTCGGCCGCCGGCTCGCCACCGACACTCCCCATAATGACGCCGAAAACGACAACGGTCGGGGTCATACGACGCGTCGAACATCGCAAGTCACGGGGGCGCGGCGTCGCCTCACCTTGCGCGTCGGCGGGGGGCGCGCCGCTGCTGGCCAGGTCGTGGCCGCCGTACAGGCTCCAGAACACGGACATCTGCTGCAGTGTGTAGCGCCGCCGCGGCACCGGAAAGTGCGTCGGCGGCCGCAGCACGTCCGCCCGGCTCACCGGCGCCGGCAGGAAGTCATCGATCACGCGGATCGGCTCAGATGTGAGCACGCGCACCTGCGGCTCACCGGAGCGCGACTGCCGGAACGAGGGAAGGGGGGGGGGGTCAGACCGACGGACCAGCCGAGGCACACCAGACGACTGGGAGCGGGGAGACGGAGCACACATACCCGTGGCCTACAGGCTGCTACACACAGCCAGTGTGGTGCGTAGCTCTGAGATCTACTGACCAGAAGCCCGCCACCAGTGACGCAACAGCGGATATCCGCGGCACACCAGAGCAGGACGTCAAGAGCCAGCTGGCTTCACAACCGTTCACACCGCGAGACTCCTCCAGGCGCGCGCAGGATCACGGAGAGCACCGCCGTTCTCAGGGGCAAGGCCGCGATGGCCACCGTCCCCCGCAACACGGCCACTGACCCGTATGCCAGAACCCGGGTCGTCGTCGAGCACGAAGAAGCCCTCGTCGGCGTCGTCGAACTCGTCGTCGATGTCGGCCAGCGCCTCGGCCATGGTCGCCATCACCTGACGGAGCGGGCCGGCCCACTGACAAACACCGCTCCCCCCGCCGGCGCACGGCGCTACAACGGGAGCCGCGCCTCGGCCAGATCTGTGGCCGGCTCATGGAATGCACTCCTTTGGGACGATGCTTCAATTCAACGTCCAAACGTTCAACGTTCAAACCACTGCTTCGACATTCAATGATAAGCGGTATCTGAGCGTGCTGGCGTCGAAAATCCCGCCGCGTCATGTCGTGCGCCTCGGAAGTGAGCCACGCCTACTTGGCGGGAGAGATCCGAGCAGCGCATGTCGCGCTTAATGCCACACAGCACAGCTGACCGTTTCGCTGGCGTCCGGCGCGTGCCGAGAGTTACCGTGTTGGACGGCACAGCCTCCGTGGCCAGCTGCGGAGGAGGTGGGGGCGCCGCCACATGTGGCTCATTCGGGAAGAAGAACACCTCCACTGGACCCTGGTTCACCTGTGCAGGAGCTAGAAGCAAATAACACCGGTGTAAGTGATCCGGAATCGCAAAACACCATGCGCTTTAAACCCCACCTTGGTTAAGTCGCGCCAACTTAATTCACTATGCTGAAGACCAGATAGGCTGGAGCTACCACATTCGAACGCGTGTCTGATGATTGTCCAAGCCATCCCAATGCCCAAGTCAAAACAGCACACCCAATACACGCTACAAACTGGAACAAGCCCGCAAATCCTCCACGCCCGCCTTGAGGCCGCCCAGAGATTCACGGCGGTGGTATCCGAGCGGTCTGGATGCTCCGCCGCCGCCGGTACCTCACACAACAGCGCCTGGCCGCGGCCGCCGCCGGGCCGCCGCAGCCCGGCGTCCACTGACCCGGCCTCGGCGGGCTGGCCTCCTGCATGGCGTCCTCCATGAGGTCGACCAGGCCGGCCGGGTCGGCGCCCGCCTGCCGGACACCGGCGCGCGCAGGCGGCGGCGGCGTAGTCGGTGCAGGCGCCGGCTCGCCCCGGTCGCCGTCCCCGGCCAGGTACGTCACCAGCTCCACCAGAGCGCGCAGGGAGTCAGCGCACGTGCGCACGTGGATGGTGTTGTTGCTGACGCGCCAGTCGAGGTGCGGCTGGCCGGCGGCCGGCGCCACACTGGTGCGGATGGACAGCTCCAGCAGACCCGCCTCCAACACACACACGTAGTCGCGCGCGCCCACCAGCGGCGCGCCGCTTCGGTCGGCCACGTGCAGCGCCGCTTCCTCCAGGATGAAGCGTAGCACCGAGGTGCTGGTAGCCGCCGCCAGGTGCGACGACAGGATAAAGCTGTCCACAGTCACCAGGTACTGGTACGGCAGATTGAGCGGCCTGCAACAGCCCACAAGTCACACGTTGCTCATCACGAACGCACGCAACGCAGTCCCCGCGGCGGGCCGACGCGCTGTATGACAGCGAAACAATTATCTGCTTCTTATATTATGTTGTGTATTGTTCGTCAGCAAAAACATCGCAAAACACATGTATCTTATCACGGTATGGCTTGCCGATCGCAAATGCCGCGTGCGTGCTGCCCGGCGGCCGAGCGCTCAGCCACCATGCCTCGTCATAGTTAGGTAACGCGTGAGGCCGCGTCTTTGTCATCGTGAGCACCCGATGTCACCCAGACCTTACACACTGGCCTGGTGAACGGCTGCTGCCCAGCATCCAGCCGCAGCCCAGTCAGGGGTCAGGGGTCGCGTCTCAGCCGCCGTCGCCACACTGGCCCGTGATCGACCGCGCATACAGCCCTGGCCTGGCCTGGCCTGGCCAGCGGCGGCCGCCTCAGCCGGGCGCCGACTCACCTATAGTCGAGCGCCGACCTGGTGACCAGCAGGTGCAGCTGGGTGACGGTGGCCGGCATGTCGTAGCCCGCCACCGGGAAGTCCACCACGTCGAACATGTCCAGCAGCTGGGTCACGAACCGCTCCAGCGACGGCAGCATGCGCGGCCTCAGCGCGCAGCCGTCCACGCCCACCGCCACCGTGAACGTCTGACGGGCACGCGGGGCAGTCACACACTGTCCCCGTCCCTCAACACACCCGCCCTGGCTCGCCAGACACCGTCCTCCCCCTCTCCCTCCTCAGCCGCACAGGCCCGTCAGACACCGTCCTCCCCCTCCCCCTCCTCAGCCACAATGGCTCGCAAGACACCGTCCTCCCTCTCCCCCTCCTCAGCCGCACTGGCCCGCCAGACACCGTCCTCCCCCTCCCCCCCCCCCCCCTCAGCCGCAATGGCCCGTCAGACACCGTCCGTCCACTGGAGGGTTATACGCACCGGCACCAGGCTTTCAACGCCATTAGACAGATCTTGTAAACTGCGGTCTTCTCCGCCGGAGCTTTATAATACAGGCCTTGGTAATGATGGATCAAAAAAACCCATGTCCTGTGCGCGTTACGCGAGCGAGACGACAGGCGGCGGGACGCGTGACGGGCCGCGTCACTGTGGGTGTTACGCGAGCGAGCCGACAGGCGCGGCAGGCTTCACGTGTCGCCTGCGCTCTCGATCTCCAGCCGCTACAGCAGAACTGCGCGGGCCGGCCGCTACCGGGCCAACGCCCCACCTTGATGTTGTTGAGCTCGTCCAGCTGGTATTTGACGGCGACGGAGAGCATGTCGTCGGCGTTCGGCTGTCCGGCCGGCTCGGCCTCGTACGGCCCCACCAGCCGGTCCAGGCATGGCGGGATGGCGTCTAAGCTCGGCAGCAGCGGCGTAGACCGCGTCGGCATCTGCCCTGCAGACGGCCGGGCGCGGTGAGACGCCGGCCGCGCCGACGGAGGGGACAGATAGAGGGGCCAGCGAAAGGGGGGGGGGGGCGATACCTGACCTGCAGACGGCCGGGCGCGGTGAGACGCCAGCCGCGCCGACGGAGGGGGCACAGAGAGGGGCCAGCGAAAGGGGGGCGGTACCTGACCTGCAGACGGTCGGGCGCGGTGAGACGCCGGCCGCGCCGACGGAGGGGACACATAGAGGGGCCAGCGAAAGGGGGGCGATACCTGACCTGCAGACGGCCGGGCGCGGTGAGACGCCGGCCGCGCCGACGGAAGGGGCAGTGAGAGGGGGCGGGGGGCGGCACAAACGGCTCAGGCCACTGACGGTATCAATGGCAAGTGCTGAAATAAGCCGCTTTGCATGCCGATCGGCATTGCATAGCTTTAAGCCCGCTGGGCACGACACGGCAATATATGGGTAGCTAGCGACCCACGACATTCCATCACGGCTGCAAGGACGGGGTCGGTTTGCCCGACTGCAACTCATATACGCTGGGATGGCCTGCCCAGTCCACAGTGAGGCGCCTGATAACGCGATATGATAATCTGCTTTTTGTCGATCAGATCGATAAGACAATTGTCCAGGTCAACCACATGCTGGTCAACGCATAAGCTCAGGGTGGGTGGCACAAGCCCCAAAAACATATCGTTATCATCGTGACGATTTGAAGCAGTCCGCGAGGGACGAGTCCTTGCGGTAAGCTCCATAGTCCTTGCGTGAGGTGTTGCGGCTAGTCTGGGGATTCTCCCCCGCCACTGTGCGCGGCGTGTCTGCTGTCGGCCCGTCTACCCGCCGCTTGCCTTTGTGGTACAGGCTGGCACGATGAGCGGAGAGGCAGACGAAGCCGTGGCCGTACATGCCGCCGTAGCCGGAGACGACGAACAGAGAGCCAGAGTCCACTGCCAGCTGGACTTCGCCGTGGTGGTCGGGCACCGGCGCGCCCTCCTCGGCCTGGGGGATAGGTTGGGTGATGCCACGTCGGGTCAGGTCAGATAAGGTCAGATAAAGTCAGGTCAAGTCAGGTCAGATTCAGATCAGGTCAGATCGCGTCAGCTGGGCCTCGCCGCAGCGGCCTAGCGGAGGCGCGGGAGCCCATGGTGCGCAGGGGACGGTGGCCCGTACGGAGACAGACCAAATTTAATCGGGTCAGGTCAGGTCGTGACCTGAAGACAGGCCACGCCCTGTCGGAGGTCCAGGATGCGTTCGGCAGCCACGGAAATCAACGTCAGCCGTAGCTGGTGCCACAAGTCAGGATCTTCATCCAAACAAATAATGAGGTCAATGAGATCTGACAATTGGTCGACATGACACCAGAGCACCCAGCATAACACGGAACACGGACCAGACGACGTCCACCACGACGACCCAAGCCACCTTCGCCTTTCATCATTCGCCAACAGCCATCGCGGATAGGACGCGCCAGTTCCTGTCACCGCCGCTCCCCCCTCCACGCCCGCCACAGTCGAGTCGCAGCCGGCGCCGGCCGACAGTCGCCGCCTGGCCTCCACTCACCACACAGGGCGTCTGCAGGGCGACCACGCCCTGACCCAGCTGGAGCCGCACGCAGCAGCGGCTCTGGCGGCTGCGCGCCAGCTCGTCCTCGTTACGCTGCCGGCGCCGCTGCCGCTGCCGCTGCTCGTACACAGACTGGTACAGCGTGTCGCTGGCGTCGCTGTCGGAGTCCGAGTCTGCCGGCCGCAGGGGAGCGCGTCGTGATGTCAGCCACGCCGACGGGCCGGCCACTGAGCGCGCGCGGCGGCAACCGGCCGGCATCAGCGACGGGCGGACACGAACAGCGGGGTGCAAAGGTGCGATATCGAAAAACCGCCAGCCTCCGCGTTCTTCTGAAACCCCATTCACCTCGGGTGCCTTGGTGCCCGTGAGCCCGACGGCCTTCTCCGCGGGGAGCACCTCGGGTCCCTTGGTGCCCGTGAGCCCGGCGGCCTTCTCCGCGGGGAGCGACATACGGCAGCACCACGTCCCATCCGCTGCCGACCCTGCGCACGCCGACCACGCGCGCGCCGTCGCCGGCCGACTCGCCGCGCGTCCGCCGGCGCGCGCCACGCACCGTACTGCGTGCCGGACTTGCACATCTGGAACGGGTCGGCGAGCAACGCCAGCGGGTCGGGCGGGTGCGCCGCCTCCGGGCTGGCGCAGCTGCCGGGCGCCGCCGGCTCCCAGAGCGCCAGGTCTGTGGCCAGTCTGGGGACGGCGCGGGGTCACGCGGGTCAGCTCGCCAGGTCACGGGCCACCCCGGCGCCGGCACCGCCGCGCGACCCGCCCCGTCGGTTGGCCGACGGGGGCGCGCCAGACGCGACAGGGCGCCATCGATCACAAGGACATGACACTCGAGCTCTGTCTCGTGACTGACAACTTCAGAAACATTACAGCGCCGAAAGAAAAAGCTACGAGCAACTACCTCCCGAGACAGGCGCATATCGAAGACCTGAATTATTAGTAACATCTCTCAACTCGCCGACACGCTCTGTAAAAAAGACGTCTAAATTACTTCAAACATCAAAGGTATGTAGTGGGCGCTCGAGTATGATACTTTGAGTTATACGTAGCCAACACCATGCCGGCCGCTGAGCCTGAGACTCATGTCACGACAGCGCAGCGGATACCTGTTGTAGATGAGCTCGTAGAAGCGCTTGCTGGGCAGGATGGCCTCCAGCAACGGCAGGCTGAGCTCCAGCAGCATCTGGCAGTTGGCGACCGTGCTGTCGATGAACCTCTCCACCTCTTCCCGACCGGCTGGGATGACCAACTCCTCACCCTCTGCAAGGTAAGGTTAAATGTCTGTCAGGCATCGTCAGCTACTCATTCTTCGCAAATTCAGGTCATGCGTCTGTCAGCAGTACGGAATCACCAGCTCCTCAACCTCTGGAGCGGCAGTGACTGACAGGAGAGCCAGAACCAAGCGCCTGACGCATTTATACGGGCTTGGCATGATCAGAATGTCACCGAAGACACGTCCACCTGGACGAAAAAAGCCAACATCGAGCAGCCTCGACACTCGCCTGACCCAACACCCAGCCGAGGCCTCACCCGTCCGACCCAACACAACCCAACCGCCTGCCGTCTGACCCGCCGCCCAGTGCCCTTTCCCCGGCGTCACCAGCCCACTGACCAGAGGCGAGGTCGGGCTGGCCGCGCGCGTGCGCGTCCGTCTCGTACACCACGCGGCGGCGGCCGAACGGGCTCGGTTCGCGGTCGGCGCCGGCCGCGCTCAGACCGGCGAACGGCGACGACGAGGACGAGTCGGCGGCCGGCGACGCCGAGCGCTCGTCGGCCGGCTCGGCCTCCAGCAGCGGCGCGCGCCGCACCGGCCACAGCGTCAGCACGGCGCGCGGCCAGTCCAGGCCGACGGCGCCGCCCGGCGGCAGCGAATCGCCGCCCGACGGCGACACCTGGCGACGGCGGGCGCGTCCCCTCAGCAGCGGCATCACACCGGCCAACGAGGGCACACGACCGAGAACACGCTCGAGAACACACTCGAGACGCGTTCGAGAACGTGTTCCAGAACGCACTCGATATTGGTGAGACCAGTCTGATGGTGAGGATCACGGTTCAATCACGGCTGCGAATGAGGCGACCTCTATCCCACTTCGGTTGCACGGGACAGAAAAATGCAATGTCTAGGAGGCCTAGCCTACAACTGCGAAACGGGGCAGCCGCGCTCACAGAAACGCCCCGCCGCCTCATGCGCTAACTAACACGGCGCCTGCGCCACGGGCCGGACGCCGCCGGCCCCTGCGCCAGGGCGCGCCGCCCGGCCGCGGCCGTCACTCACGCCGAGGAACACGACCGGCGGCGCGGCGTCCGTCTCGGCGTAGGCCACGCTGACGGTGCGCGCCTGCAGCTCCAGTCGCGTGGCGTCGTCCCGCGCGCGCAGCGCCGTCCGCAGCGTGGCGTCGCGCATGCGCAGCAGCAGCCAATCGGGCCGCACGTGGCGGCACCACCAGGGCGGCCGCTTCATGTCGCTGAGCGGCCGCAGGTCCGGGATGGGGAACCTGCGGCCAGCACCAGCGGCATCAGGCGTCGGTGCGGAGGGGGCGGGGGGGGGGGGGGCTGTGCCTCGGGCGGCGCCCAGGTCTGGTAATGACGGTGTTGGTGTTGCAGGAGCTGACATCAGAGGTCCACAGTCTCACCACTTACGACCCCACTCATAGCGTAGCGTCTCTATCAGGGCTATCTGGGTGCGGTCAGGGCCGATACAGGACAAACTTAACATTGCGAGACATACGTACATTGTGCGCAATGACGAAAACGGATACGTACAGATGGCACTAACCTTTTCCCGCTAGGTTGACGCCAGAACTTTGCGGACGAAATGCAAAGCAACGTGAAATGTGAACAAAAAAGGAATCCACTACACAAACTCGGGTATGCTTCCGGTTTTTAACACACCCAAAGTTAAAAGAATGTCTTCTGAATGCCCCCATTCTTGCAACTGCAGCATCACCGACTGAAACTCCTACAGCAACAGGAGACCCCGCACAAGTGGCTGCTGCAGCGGCCGTGAGGCGGGCCGGTCGGGCGACGCCTACCTCAGCTTAACGGCAATCGCCGGCGCCGTCACTTGCACGTCCACCTTGGCCTCGGCGCTGCCGGCCGTGTCGTCCATGGCGTCGTTGAAGCACTGTTGCTTCGACTGCCGGCGGGAGAGAGCGTGACCCGGACAGTCGTCGTACGTCACAGGTGTCGTCCGAGACCGCATGCGACACCACCCTCCGCAGCCGGAGCAGCACACAAGTACTGACGACGATAGCAGCCGGCGATGACGAAGATATCACAACTGTAGAGTATGGGAACGTCAAAACAGAGCGCATCAAAATGCGACTCTATATGACGAACACTAAACTGATAACGAAGGAATCTGGCGGTTGGCATGGCAACCCAGTCCCAATACAAAAAGCGTGACCCTCGTCCACGGCAACGCAAGGTTCTCAGGCCCGGCTCTGTGCTCACTTCACGCCCATTCAAAGCCCAGGTATCATGGTCCGCACCAGAAAGCCTGCCGGTCGAAAAAAAGAAAAATCCACAGATGAGCGGGGTCCGTACATTTATCGCGTGGGCGTGTTCGCCCCCGATGAGTGACGTGCCACGGCGGACGGACGGGTCGCACTCACCACGTGGGCGTGTTCGCCACCGGTGAGTGACGTGCCACGGCGGACGGACGGATCGCACTCACCACGTGGGCGTGTTCGCCACCGGTGGGTGACGTGCCGCGGCGGACGGGGCCGGCGGCGGGGCTGAGCAGGGCCGAGAGCCGGTCGGCCAGAGAGACGTCCACTTCGGAGGCGCAGGCCGCCAGCCGTAGCCTGCCGACGGCCGGCCGGCGTCAGCCGAGTCACCGCCTTCCACAGGCGGGGGAGCTCACCGGGATGGCAACGCTCCTGGGTCGGTGGGAATTCGTTGACGGGGTGCTGCGCCCAGTTCAGACACTGCGTCCTATCTAGCCTACGGTGTCGGTACATTAAGTATTGGCGTGTAAAAGGCCCAACAGGAAAATTGGATCCGCGCATTCAAAGCATCTCATGAAACGGCCAGTATTTCGGAAAAGAATAGAAGACGCAGCATTACCTAACATCAGAGCCAATACCATCAGCAGCAGGAAACACGAAAGAGATCGGTTCCCGTAACCCGTTAACCTGTGAGACAACGTTCGAAACGAATGTGGCGCTGCTCCGCTTGTCCCACTGGCAGGGCCGGACCCGAACACCCCGCGCGTGCTACACGGCCGTCTCCACGGCACTCGTGCCGGGAGGACCCGAGCAGCGGGCTCGGCCGCCGGCTGACCTGACGCTGACGGCCGGACTGGTAGTGTGCCGGTTCACCAGCGCCTGGCTGTGGCGCACGGTCAGCGCCAGCGCGCCCTCCGACGTGGCGTCCGGCCGGCCCGGCGGCGGCTCGCCCGTCTCGAACGTCAGCAGCTGGCGGACGGACGCGCCGCCGGTCACGCGGGCCATCGGTCCCACAGGCAGGTCACCATCGGCGGTGCCACGTCCCCCACACGGCGCACCCCTGCCGTCTCGACGTACCGGCGGTCAGCGGCGCGCGCCTAGCATGCGGCCGGCGCGCTGACTCAGCATGTCCAATGAACAGACCAGCCTGTGACAGTCACAATGCGATGTCAAGCCGAGAACACAGCCGCTGACGGCAGTGTACCAGCACCGCTCGCCAGGCACGTGCCGACCATCCGGTGATCACCTCTGTATACGTGGCGGCAGGCCCGCTGGCGGAGTCCCGCTCGACCAGACACTCAAGCAGCTCCGCCATGCCCGACGTCAGCGTCATCGAGAACACGCTCTTGCTGCCACCTGACGGCCGCTCACTGCACTCAAACTTCAGCGGCGCCGCTACCAGGCTGTAACGTGACGCTCGTATTACGTGCGTAGTTCATGTCGGTGCAGTCAGATAAAGACACATATAGCGGCACTAAGGTTTAGATCACCTTCAGCTTGTTTTCAAAGTGTGAAAGAAATATCGGTACATGCCCCGGCGTTCACGCCCCTGAAACCTCACATCATCCAGCACACATGGCCAGATGGAGGCCAGGTGGTTCGCCACCAGCCGTACGTTCAGCCCCCCCCCCCCCCCCCCCTAAAGACAGGGCGGCGCCGGCGCGCGCGTCTCGCGACAGCTGACCTGAGATGGCTGCAGGGGCACGCCTCGAGCAGGTCCGGGCGCGTGCCACGTACGCCGCCGCCGCCGACGCAGACGGACGAGAGGCGGGCCAGCCCGGCCTCGGCCAGCCGCTGCATCTGATGAGGCCAGGGTAAGGCGGGTCAGGCCCGCAGACCGGCGGCGGCGCCGGGACGGGCAGACGCTCCTACCGAGGGGGCAGGCGCGCCCACACACCCAATCAGCGCGGCTCATCACACCGGGCAAGCAGAGATCGTGTGACACGTCACACTTCCCTGCTGGCAAGGGAAGCCACTTTTATACCACTAAAGGCAATGCAGTGCGCGCGATCCATGCCTGCTGCCGGACACGTGACAAGGCAGCACCCGTGACCTGGACCACGCGGCGTCCGGCGAGCGGCGCCGCTCACCTGTTTGATGCTGGCAGGGGTGAGCAGCTGCGTGTCCGGCGCCGTCGTCAGTACGTCCTCATGCATCAGCACCACGCAGACGGTGCTGAGCTGCAGACTCAGCCGGATCGAGTCCTCGCTCTGCTCCTCATCTGCCCCGGCACAAGAGGCACGCGCCGGTCATGGTCGCGTCACCGCCGCCCCGCCACTGCGCACAACGCCCGATCAGACAGAACACCACACGCGGCGAGCCGGCGGCAGCACGGGTCAGGCTCCCGTCCCTGCGGCAACGGGAGCGCTTTGGCGGCGCTGCGGGCGACCGAGCGACGCGCGAGGCCGGCCGGCGGCGCGCGCCTGGGACTCACCCTTGCCTCGGTCCCGCCGGCGTCTGGGCCGCGGTCTCGTGTAGGACATCTCAGACCTGTACAGGAGGATGGGTCAGCTCTGCCACCACGGCCAGGTGGCGCCGCAGCGCCCAGTGAGAATCACGGGTAGACTGAGGGTGTCGGTGTTGGAGACACGCTTCAGCTCTCAACGCGCGTCAAATGGAACCAACTGCCTGTTAAAAACGGTGGTGCATAACAATTGTCGAGCATATCTTAAGGATGGCAACATGCCAAAGCTTACCTCATTAAAACAATGCCGGAACTGGGCCCACCAGTGACGAACTAAGCCGCGCAGCAAATGACCCCAGACTTAACAGTTCGCCCACAGACCGTCGGTGCACAATCGGGCAGGAATGCGCGTCATTTGATCACAATGACCTCCTCAATCGAGCGTTGTGCGCCCGGCTCACCTGTGGGTCGAGGTGGCCTCCGAGTAGACGCTGCCCGTCACAGACGAGGTCATGGAGCCGTCCATGTCGGCCGACGTGGCCAGCGAGACGGCGCTGGAGGTCAGCGCCGCGTCTGGCCGCAGCAGCGGCAGGAACTCCTCCTCGTCCTCGTCTGCCGAGGGGCGGGCGGCGCGTCAGCGGCCGTCTGCGGCGCTCTGCGCGGCGGTCGCTCCCAGCCGTCCGCCCTCGCTCGCAGCCGCCGGGCCGCGCCAGTCCTGACACAGCACCAGTCACCGCGGCGAGCCTCCCAAACAGCGGACACCCTTCCGACGAGGGCAGAGGCGCGCTCTTCCCCCGCGCCCCCCCCCCCCCGCCGGCTGGCCGACGGCGGCCACTGACCGTGTGCGTGCGAGGACCAGCCCTGCGCCCTCAGCGCCTGCGTGGTGAGGAGGGTCGCGGGCGGCCAGGTTGCGGCGCACCAGTTGCTCCTCGATCACCTGGTAGTCGGAGGGCGTCATGGGCTTCTCGGCGTGTCGGCCGGCGCCGCACGGGCGCGGCGCGCTGCCAACAGAGGGCGGTTCAGCTGCCTGCTCGGCCAGGCTGACGCCGGTGCAGGATCAGCGGAGCACTTCGCCACCCCCGAGCAACGTCTCCAACCGCCTGACCCGGAGATTAGCTCAGCCCAAAGTTCGTCACTTCCCCCCCCCCCCTGCTTTTGTCTGTTGCCCACACATCGGTGGTATTCGCGCAATGTATCCTTTGTTGGCGCTAACACAGCACTTTCCCTCAAAAAGAAGATTCAGATAATGTTTCTATGGTACCACCACCCTCCATATTGCCACCCGTCATGACAACACGACAGGTAATAACTGTTCAGTTGACAATAGTGCCAGCAATCTCTCATAGTCGAGGGGAGGGGGGGGGGGCGACTAATCAGTGAGTCACTACGAAAAGCTCATCGCTACGTAAACACCTTTCAGTTTGGCAGATCATTCGCTTTGAACAGACACGCGGCCGGCCGGCGCCACGCCCCGCGAGAGCGCACGCGCCCGGCCGGACGCGCTGCTGACCTCTTCTCCACCCGTTTGGGGTCGATGATGCCGCTCATGAGCTCCATCAGGTCGTGCAGCTGGCGCGGCCCCAGCAGCGTGCAGAACGAGCCCGACGTTATCTGCACATTCAGCTGCGAACACCACATCCACGGCGCTGGTCAAGCTGAAGGCCAGCGTCTCATGTGGCAGGGCGACTCACTGACCTGCACATCAACATGCCCCGAATCCTGAGCAGGCGTTCAGTTCCCGGATCACCGCGTATACCAACGCGGATCAGTACAGTATGTCATGACAAACATCCATGGTAGAAACCATCTCCTGATGCAGTCACAAAATTGACACGTTGTGGAGACAATGAGTCATTGATGCACGTTACTCGTAACAGTGCTCTCCAGTGGCCGGCCGCTCCCGTTAGGTACAACAGCTCATCCCATGCTCCTGCCTGGGCTGCTCCGCGGAGGGCGTGGGAACTGACCTTTGGCCCGGGGGCCGTGTCGTGCACCTTGACCTCACAGCGCAGCTCTGTGCGGCCGTTGAACTGGCCGAGCAGCACGGGCTCGCCGCCGGGTGGCGGGAGGCCCGGCTGCGTCTCCTCCTCGTCCTCCTGGCGGTCGGGAGACGCGTGACGGCCACGGGCGCGCACCCGCACACTCACACCGCGCCGGGCAGCGCCACACATCCTGGAGCGGCGCCCGCACACTCACAAAGCGCCGGGCAGCACCACACATCCCGGAGCGGCCCCCGCACACTCACACTGCGCCGGGCGGCACCACACATCCCGGATCGACGCCCGCACACTCACATCGCGCCGGGCGGCGCCACACATCCCGGAGCGGCGCCCGCACACTCACACCGCGCCGGGCGGCGCCACACATCCCGGAGCGGCGCCCGCACACTCACACCGCGCCGGGCAGCACCACGCATCCCGGGCCGGCGCCCGTCGCTCACACGTGCTGCACGAGGTGAGCCGGGGGCGCCCTGACTGGCATCTTAGCAACGGTCGTGTAGGAGCACCCTCACCAGCGTCAGAAGTGTACTCATACGTCTGAGCGTAGGCAGGCCGAATAACCCCTTGACAACCAATGTGTGTAAAAAGAAACGTTCAAATACCTTTCCACGACTTTCACAAAGAACAATAACATTGAGCAATCCTAGGAGATTAGATCAACAGGTCGCGCCAAGTGACGACAAACCGGTTTGTTCGGTTCTAAATAACAGTTTATCAATGATCTAAAGCGAAACTCGCCCGAGTTGAAGCAGATCACTTGTCTTAAGCGTTACACAGCCATATGAAGCCATCGCGTGATTTCTCACGACATTACGCTCGCACTGCATCACGAATAAACCGTGATGAGCGCTGGTTATGGTGGCAGAAAATGTCTGCTGACGATACTTGTGCGATTTGCTTGATTTGGAAGACCTCTAATGAAACGTTTCAAGTGAGAGGGTCATGTTCTAGGTGGACGCTCGCCGTTTAAATATACACATACCGGAGATCGGTCACGTGTGCTTGATTCAAAGTGCAAAAAGGCCCTCTCAAATTTATCCTTATACGCTCATATGTTCTCTTAGAATGGCAATTTCCACAGAATTCTTGCTCGGACCGTTTGCTCAGCCCCTAAGAACACGAAGTCCAACAGGACTTGCTTTCGTTTCAAAAACTTGTGTTTACCACCGTTATTTGGAGACATTGTTACCAAATACCGTGTCATTCATTGTGCGAGAGCTAGAAACAGATAGTCTTAATCAGTGCGCAAAAAGACGAAACTTCACGCTTCAAAATTTCGTTCATGATATAACTTTTACCTCGTCAGCCACGTCATAGCCTAGCCGCAACCTTTTGAGGCAAATCTGTCCCCGCCGTTCAGGTGTTTGCTCACCGATTGGCTAATCTCGGTCTGCGCGAATGTTGAAGGTCATGCCTGAAACCCGCTCCTGCTGTGCACGACACCGATCTGCGTCATGGTGGAGGTCATGCCTGAAATCCATCCCTGCTGTGCACAGCTACCGATCTGCGCCACGTTGGAGGTCATGCCTGAAACCCATCCCTGCCGTGCACAGCTACCGATCTGCGCCACGTTGGAGGTCATGCCTGAAACCCATCCCTGCCGTGTACAGCTACCGATCCGCGCCATGTTGGAGGCCATGCCTGAAGCCCATCCCTGCTGTGCACAACTCTGGCGAGCCTTTTGACTGTCAAGTAAATCAACATGATTCCAGTGTTCCATGCTTCCCGCGAACCATGCTAACTATTCCCTAGAGCATACAGGAGCCACTGGTTAAGCGCACTAAATGCAGAGGGTGTTGGTACCATGGGCGCATGTACCTCATTTCGAATTTGGTTGATGCATAACGGTCATGCGCCCTTTCTGGTAGTCAGCTTTAAATTTGAACTATTTTAGAATGCACTGGAACAATGTTCGTATTCGTCACGGACGTCAATGAACCATTCTTAAGGCACTTAACACCCCAGAAGCAAAAAATAAAGCTGGTTCGCACCACGTCTGGACTTAATGGTACAGCATATTGAAACCTCAATATTAAACATGTTTTGAGCCGCGGACCTTGGTGAATCAGGTAAGCTAGGCACCTTGACGAGACGTGGACCTTTTTGAATCAGGTAAGCTGGGCATTCTGACGAATGAAGAAACCGAAATTCGATCAACCGAAACAGGTTATGTGCCTGCCAGAGACCGAGACAGCGCTACTAGCGCCTGCCGAGACACCTACCGAAAACCTGAGAGGATTACACGAGACCCGCTACATTGGAGAGGATCAGCCGTTTGCAAGGCAATGTGTTCCTATACTCAAATGAGCTACTTCATATTCGTATTCCCTGGATGGTGTGGATTATGTAAACAGGCACATCTAACATACGCAGGCCACCGGCGCGCGTCGTCGAGAAACTGTCCAGTCAGCACAACAACAGGATACGCGGTCGGTGTCTGATGCGACGGACCGACCCACCATTCTGAGATGCTGAGTCACGACACCCTGCACGTACAGCTATCAGCGGCTGCCAGCAGGCGGCTGTGTGCGCTGCAGGAACAGGCACGACGCACACTTCAGTACGTAACTTAGAGAGACGCTGATTGTCACACGGTCCCGATCTGGGACGCTGGCGTGGCCGACAAACACCTCAAGTGCCGTTTGCGGATCTACATAACTGAACCTCACAACCGCTGTTGCCACCTGCTGCCACGGCGGCGACAGTTATTAGTGGCTTGCTGACACAGAGACAGCTACTGGAGCTCAGACAGGCTTCTACCGCGCCAGACGGGCGTTTTCTCATCTCCGCTGGATTGGAGGACCCCACAGTACCCCTAGTCCTAGTTAAGCTCCCGCTCTCTGGAGAACTAAGCACGCTAGAGCCAGGCTGGCCCTGCACACAAAGACATCGGACTGCAAGCGTAAAACTGCACTCAATGGGTGCCATGGAAACCTGCGCAAGCGCCCCTCCCGCCCCCCCCCCCCCCCCGCACACCCACACCCACACACATGCCGATCGGCTAAACCAGGTTCACCATTAACAATAGGATAGATGGGTCAGTTGTGCCTTTCTCTGAACAGTATGCCATCATAGAGCGAGAGTGGCACTGTATATCCCTTTGCACACTGCGCCATAAATCCCTCGTATGCAATAGTGGGCATGACTCAGTGAGTTGTACGCGCCATGTCACGCAGGTCCGTCCTTGTGGCCATTGAACCTTCCGTGTTATCTCAACAGGTACAGCGCGACAGACACTGCAAACGCCGCGCTACAGCGGATGTCAGGCTAGACCGGACATCTGATAATATAGTCCCGGGTAGCACAAATAAGGTCAAGAAAACTAGAATATGATTCTCACACTATCAAATTTGGCGCTTCTGAATCAGGTTGATCCTAGGTGGCCTGATGTACTCACATGTAATCCAACCACATGACCAATAATACGATAGGATATAGCGACTCAATACAGGGATGCCATTTAGAAAGCATGCTCCACGAAAACCCACGTCAGCTGACGTCACGGGTCCCCGCGCCCGCAGCGTCATCGCCCCCCTCTCCTCCCAACCCCTCCCCCCTCCCCACCCGCTCGGTCACGTCACCGGTCTTCCGCACTCTGCCATCACTGATACCCGCCCCGTCACCGACCCCCCTCCCCGCGCCAGGCGACTGACCCGGTCCTCGGAGAAGGAGGCGGCCATGCAGCCGGGCGCCGCCCTGCAGGCGGCCGGGAACTCGGCGCAGTGCAGCGTGACGCGGTCGAGCGAGAGCCGCTTGACGGACAGCGCCGCCGGCTGCAGCGGGCCGCCGCCGCCGCCACCGCCATCCAGCTCCCGGCCCGCCTCGTCCATGTAGTCCATGCTGCGTGGCGGGGCACGGCTCGGGTGAGGAGGAGTGCTGGGCTGAGAGCGACGCTCTGGTCGGCCCTCGCTCAGTGACGGGGGCACGGCTCGGGTGAATAGGAGTGCTGGACTGAGGGCGACGCTCTGGTCGGCCCTCGCCCAGTGACGGGGGCACGGCTCGGGTGAGGAGGAGTGCTGGGCTGAGGGCGACGCTCCGGTCGGCCCTCGCTCAGTGACGGGGGCACGGCTCGGGTGAATAGGAGTGCTGGACTGAGGGTGACACTCTGGTCGGCCCTCGCCGGTACGCGGCGGCCGGACGGCAGTGTTCCCCGCAAAACGGCACGGTCAGATCTTTGTAGAAACGGCGCGAGCGGCACGCTCAGAATGTACGGCGCCAACAGTGCTGATTGCATTAATCTCGCAATGTGTGACCAGGCTAGTTTGGCAGGCTATAATACGCACGGCATGTGCTTAACGGTCAGGAATGTCTCCCGGAGGGCCTGAGCGACTTGCTATTAAAAACGCCTGCGCAAAACTGCATCCTACACATAACGAGCAGGCAGCCGTCGCTCGCCCAGACGCCCAACGTTCGACCAGCGGGCGGTCACCCACCGGGCTATTTTGATCTCGACGCCGACTCCGCGTCCCATCTCCTGGCCCACGTGCTCCAGCCGCACCACCGTGTCCAGGAACCGCACCTTGATCCGCATCAGCACTGGAACGGCCGTCGGCAGTCATTGGACGCAGACAGTCGTGGCAGCAGCACAGGCCGTCACGGCAGCAGCACAGGCCGCCACGGCAGCAGCACAGGCCGACACGGCAGCACAGGCCGTCACGACAGCACAGGCCGTCACGGCAGCAGCACAGGCCGTCACGACAGCACAGGCCGTCACGACAGCAGCACACGCCGCGCTGAACAGATCAAAATCGTCTCCAGCCAAGATGCAGCACTTTCGACGTCTTTTCGAAATTTACGACGAGACAACGGCAATGAGGGGCGATTTGACACTGGTGCACTTAACACTTGGTGATGTTTGATGTTTTGCATTAGACTGCGGCGACGAACAGCGAACACTTCAAGCGGAGCGACGCCATTCTGGACCGCTCGATACCCCATCCACATCCTGGCCAAATCCATATCCCACACTGGTCTAAATCCCACGACATATCATTCTGACCCAGCCAGAGGGCAGTCTCTCGACCGAGCACCGACCCCATCCCCGTCTCTCCCTGGCCAGCCGGAGCGTCCGACCGGGGTACCGGTAGTGTATTGGTTAAGTTGTGCGGCTGGGGAAACAGAGGTGCGGGGTACGATTCCTCGGTGCCCGTCCTCTGTGCCAGGGTGACTGGCGGGTGACGCCATATAGCCTCAGCAAACAAACGCGCTGTACAGGGCCCCAATGACAACAGCGGCGCGTCCAGCCGCCGCGAGCCCGACCTGAGTCGATGGCGCCGGCCAGCGCCTCGATGCCCTCCAGCGTCTGCGTGTCGGCCTCGACGCGCTGGTCGGCCACCTGGCCCAGACACTCCTTGGCCATGTCCATCGTGCTGGTCGACATGCTGTCCAGCATGGAGTCGAACATGGCCGCTGCGGCGTGGACGAGGCCGGCAGTTAGCGGAGCCGGCGGGCGGAGCGGCAGCATACCACAGTGCGAAGACATCGTCAGCAGGGAAACCAGGCATGGGGGTATCACGACGCTACTTGGAACAGCTGAGGCCACCGACAATGAACTCCGGCCGAATAAAGCGGGTACCAAATCACGGTTACCAAAAGGCGTACTGCCCCAGATCTGCGTACAACATAATGTAGAGATAGTTCAAAGAAATGTAGCAAGCCAAGACAGACCAACACAACGTTACTTGACGTCGCTGCCATGCTGCCAGCCTGAGCGCCCTCTCCTCACAGAGACCCGATACCCCAGCACAGGGCGGCACCACCGCGGCCGGCACCCACCGTCGTCGAGGCCCCTCTCCTCACAGAAACCCGATAACCCAGCACAGGGTGGCACCGCCGCGGCCGGCACCCACCGTCGTCGAGGCCCCTCTCCTCACAGAGACCCGACACCCCAGCACAGGGCGGCACCAGCGCGGCCAGCACCCACCGTCGTCGAGCATCTGCTTGGCCTGCACAGTGAGCATGAGGCCGCTGATCTCCACATAGCTGCTGGCCGTGAGCAGCGACGACCAGGGGATGGTGACGCGCACACGGCGGATGTAGCCGTCCACGAACTCCACGGGCAGATTGTTGGCCGCGCCCACATCGTTAAGCGCCTGCCGGACGAGAAGCTGCCGTCAGCGAGCCGGCGGAGTCGCCGCTGGACACACGTGACAGTGGCGGTGCCTCGTGAAATGTTGGATACCATTAGTCAGTAATGTTGTATCTGAGCTGAGGACAGGTGAAATAGGCCTGCTCCATGCTGGACATACAATAAATATTTTTCTGAGTGAAGCAAGGGAAAAGCGGTGAGTGGGTTGCATGCAGTTTAGTCTGCAATACACTGGTCAAATGCCATGACTAAGCTGCGCATGTTTGATGGGACAAGATGTGCTTGATTCAGCTTCTGGTCCCAATTCAGGTGGCTGACATAAAAAGATTGAAAACATAGCAATAGTGAGTTGTTTTTGTGCTGCAGGATTCTACAGCAACAGTTCTTCCTGACATTTGCAACCCACTAAAATAACATTTCATAATAAGTATAGTCTCCAAAGAAGCTGTAGAATGGATAAAAGACATGGCATTCCTTATTGAAGAACAAAATCTACATTTAAAAAGCAAGGTTCATGATCAGCAGATCACACACAAAGCATGTCCACATGCCTTGTTTTGGCCAAAGCAACTAATTATGTTATCACATCATGGTTCCTTTAGTCATCAGCAGATGATTTATGGCCTTGCCTTTAGCATCCCACTATATCTGAGCCCCTAATTAATTGCATTTTTGCATAACCATCTGCACTGAGCCCTTCATTGGTAAGGTTAATATATACAGTTGTATCCAAAGAAGTTACTAGTAGCCATGTCACACATGAATGACCACACTCCAAAGTGAAGGAATGCTGTGATGCAGTTACCAGTGATGCTGCAAGTAGTAGCTCAAGGGTGATATTTGGCAATGAGGTATGGGGGCCCTGGTGGCCCAATGGCTTTCTGAAAGACTCTTCATCATACATGGTGCACAGGCAATCTCAGGGCATGCGATCTTCCCAAAGTCACTCAATATTTGCTACATTGCCTCAGGAGCTCCTTAAAGCCAGATCTGGCATGAGCCAATGCATGTGACTGAACTTTGCATGTGAATTCTTGCTAAAGCACAGCGCAAGCACAATGCCTAACTATTCTTATCACTGGGCATGCATATTGATTTAAGCTCTATGCTTGCTATAAAATGTGCAAAGACTTAATGTTAAGGTCAGAGGCACTGGGGTGCTTGAGGCTTACAAAGGTGTGAATTCTTGTCTATGGTCAATATGGTCATTATGCTCAATGTGGAGCTCAATGATCCCCAATTATCCTATCCTGCATGGGGGCAAAGCAGCATTAACTTTTACACAGGGACTTAACAGACATGGGGCCAATCCTGCTATTTTAACTATTACCATGCTCCTTGTATCTCACTGCTTCTCTGAACAGGAGCTCTCAAATAGGCTTTATGTCATTGAATCAAACCTCCTACTCGCCTGGTAGGCCTCTGGTCTTTCTAACTGGGGCCTGCTTTTGGGCTCACAGAGCTTCCAGTAATGCCCTATTCATGCATTTGACATGACATTCCTTTGATCCTCCAGCCTTTATCAACTGGAAGGATTTTATCTTGGCTACTTAAAGCCTTTTAAGGGGCAGACATTTTCTCTTGGTTGCCTTACAACCCCTCTTCTGATTTGATTGAAAGTGTCATCTCTATCATTTAGAACATATAGTCAGTATCATTACGCCTCTTTAAATTGCAAGGCACGATCAAAACAAATAGTTGCTTCCATTGACAAGTGACAATGGAGGTGGCTGCCCTATTGCTTCTCTGGCTGCAATGCCCCTATTGGCATACCAGAACATAATGCTCCAATATATCAAAAAAGCACTATCAGCCTTTCCTTTTCTTCCCCTCCTTTTCCTTTGTGCCTAGATCAAGCATGACAGACACCACTAGATGCAAAAGTTTGAATGCAAAAGTCTGAGTAAAAGGACAATAGCAGAAAATCACAGAAATACCACATACACCAAGCTGTTCCACTGCTAGTGTCATACAGCTTGATACAAAACTACCTTATGTCAGGGTACAGCTAACAGAATGTTTTGGCCATATTTCTTTGTATATCCAATTACATATCACAACAGACCATGTGTCACAGAGTAAAATGCACCAGCGCTAAAAAGTTTTCCCACACATCTTAAGTTCAGTAATTTGTGCAGGCAACTTTAACCTCTATGATCACTATGAAGGGCAGACCCTGGAGTGTTATTTGCATCCATATTACAAACATTAAGCTAATTTTTGCCTGTTAACAAATCAAAGAGCCTTTCCTAGCATAGGACTTACATCAAAATCCAAAAGAATGTCCTTGATTTCTCCAGTGCCCTCGTAGATGTCGACACTGAGTTGCTCCAAAGTCAGCTTCTCCTTTAAAAATTGACCTAGATATCGCTGCAGTAGATACCTGCAGGCTCTTTTCTTGATGCTATCTGACCATGGAAATTTCCAAGGCATTATGATCTACAAACCCACTCGGATATTGGCCACGACCCCCCAACAAGCAAATATCCTCACAGACAAAGCGATCCCGCGGAACTCCGACGCGACACCACTCGCATAACATCTGCGTTGTGCGTGACGTCATGTTTGTTTTGCTTCTGATCAGCCTGCGTTCAAGAAGTCACTCAAGGACGAGAAGTCACTGCACTAACCATTGCGGTTCAGAAAATAAAGTTTTGGAAAGGGTTTTGGAGCGTATGCGACACCAGATTTTTTCCTTGATAGGTCTATCTTTTCTCAAATTGTGAGAGGCTTGAGTCCTCTCAACTGAATGTGAAATTACACCCGTGGTTTGGAGGATGTTCATGGAGAGACAGAGATTATAGCTTAGCTTAGATATAGCTTAGATAGCTTCCTATTCAACTGGGGCGCTCCGCTGTCCCCCCCCCCTCCCCCTCTCTCCTTACGCCAACATTGTATCTAGCCTTCCCATTTACCAGTATTCAGAAGACAGTTGGCCAAATCAAGAGACAATTCATTTGAATCGCATTTTGCGAGGTGAATGATTTTTTACATCTCCCTTCCCACGCAACTCATTTTGTGAAGCTTCACCGATGCATGAGGATGATTCGCTTGAGATTTAACGGTAATAAATCTACATGTGCCACTTCTATGAAGCTACTTTTTTCTCCATTGCTTCAGAGGATGTACATTTTCACCTTATCCGACAAAGATCAGCAATTAACAAGAAATGAAGGTAATGGACCATGAGGCGTGGGATCAGCTACCTAGAGATGGTTCAAGCTGACCCCGTAAAGGCATACATTTTTGACATTACGCCGAATATGTCCGTCGTTGATAGCGCTTCCATTCCCAGCGCATGCGCAGCGTGCAATTCGCAGCGCTGAGTTAAGCGTGCGGCTGTCGTCGATTTATATAAGGGCTATTGTATGGACGCACAGTGGGCGTATGTAAAAGTCAGGCGCAGAAGCGTCAATCTCGCCCAGCACTCTGGTAGACCGCCGATTGGTTGATTTTCGTCAATGCTGGCAACCGGGGCCTACTGTGGTCACCCGCCAGGGTCGGCCAGCCACGTTCGTCAAATCGGCAACCGATTCAGTTCTGAAGTGCCTGCCCCACAGCTCAAAGAAAGCGCCTTCCTCCCAATCAATACGTGGCGGGGCGTTGGTTCGATTCTGTGTGGCGCTCACTACTTGCCCATGGATGGGGTGGACTGGGCCAGGGATTCATGGGGCTTGCTCCCTCCCCCCTCATTAGGTACGAGCGAATTTCTTCACTACGACACTTCTGAAGATAATTCTGGACTTGGTAATCAGAAAAAGCTTGTAAAATTCACAAGTTGGGTTGATGTTAAATGACAAACTGATGTCATGTTTACAGAAACCAACATGAACAACGACGTGTTAAGGGTTAAACCTGCAGTTTAGTAGCAAGACAAGCATATAGACCAGTGAGCATGTACGGCACGTAGTTGAAATATTGTTTTACGCACCAGGAAAAAATTGCGTGGATAGCTCACTCGCACGCTTAGCACTTGATGTACCTATAAGCGTTGGTGGGGTCTGTTGGTCCGTTCGCGGTGCGTAGGTACTATCACTGGAGCCCGGACTTGCTCGTAAAAAATAGCTTTCATCGGTCGGAAATCATGGCAGTCGCTCCCCGTGGCAAATCATGGTAGCCTCCCCCTCGTCGCAAATTCTGGCTGCGCCCCTGCTCGGCCCGCGGCAGCAGGTGATCAAGATAACGTGAGGCGAAAGGGCTGGGTATACCGTGGCGCGCATTGCAGTAAGTTAAACCTTCTTCACAGAATTCTGCTGCTGGTCTGGAATTTGACGATGGAATGATGGAGATCAGGTCAGATCAGGTCATACGTAACAAGCTCTGATTGGCTTGGGCTCTGGTCCCAGAAATGCATCCAATGTAAAAGCGTTGCGGCAACCAAAATGCACTCAGATCTGTTGGCTGAGGATCTGACATTGTCATTCACTCCTCAGTGGGCTTTTAGTTGACCTGAAGATCCACACAGATGAAGCGTGACTTTCTTATTTCTATGAGCATACAAATCGCGGCCGGCTCGCAACGTCCCAAGTCAAAAGGGCGGTGCGGTCCCACATGACGGCTCTGCATGCACGATGCCGGTCGAGCATTCAGACTGTGGCGATTCAAGACACAGTGCCAACTTATTACAATGTCCTGTGTGGATGCGCGAGGAAGAGACCTACGGGGTCAGAGCAACGACAGGTGTGTCGCTATCTACGGCATGGCGCAATGTCGAATCCAAGATATCCCCACAGTCCAACAAACTTTATGTGCAGGCGGCAAAGGTCGAGGTAACAGCATATAATACACAGACAGGTTATATTACCGCGCCTTATCTGATTAAAATTTTCATCCCACCTGCTCCCCCCCCCCTCCCCCACCTCCGCCTCCGTGACTCTTTTTCAGCTGATTCGACCACGCAGACCCAGACAGATACCGTTGAGTCGCCCCCGGCCAGGCGTTCGTACGCCCCGGCGGCCGTGCACCCCTGCTCTCAGGATGGCCGGCATCCCAGCCCTCCGGCAACAAATGGTCTGTGGGTCATTCAAGCTGTCCGCTATCCTAGCCCTCGAGCTACGAACGGTCAACAGCCGGGCCCGTCCGGCCGGACAGTGAACGGTCCATTCCCCTTGCCCTGTACGTGTGCCCATCACGCGCGGGCGAGGACCGCCGGCACCGCCCACCAATGAAGGTGGCTATGGCGGCCATGGGCTGACGACAGCCTGTCTCGCACGGCCGGCTTGGGTGGGGACCGGTCCAACCGTACCATGGATGTCGTTGTCTTTGAAAGGGAATGCTGGCCTCATGTTGAAATGACCGAAATGATCTGAAACAAAAGCGTTTTCCCATTCCTCACTTCAGTTGTCATCGCATTACACAGCATGTTTCTCCTACCAACTAACATGGCTTAACATTTTTAATCGTTTGTTGTATTGCTATAATGCGTTGGAAGGAGGCTGACACAATGGTGGGAATACATTTTGATAAACAATTATTTTGTCAATGCATAGATTAATCCCCCCCCTGCGATATTAAATGGCCGAAATCTTGACGTATGCTCAAGAAATTTCCCACCAAATCGTAAAAATCTTCAACCCCTTGAAACTCTTAAATCGGTTAGGTGTCGCTCTGAGATCCCCTTTCACCATCCATGGTTGCTCCTTTCAGCTGTTGTGTGACGCGATGTCCAACTTTTTTTTACAGCGCATCGTATTATGGTCTACACAAAGCATCGCCATGTCAGTCTTTATTTACCTATAATCATTAAACACAGACAAGTCGCTAGAGCTTGAATCTTTTTGAATGCGCATATGCATCTACACAATGTCGGTTAAGCTTCCTAGATTCCAACGCCTACGCATCGGTGACATACGCCAACACGGTCATGCTGTCCTGATTTCTGCGATGGCTACAAAGACACGGCATTCTCCCACGCGTCCGAAGCGAGGAACACAGAAAAACGTTCATCGAAAACAAATGCAGTGCATCGCAGGGGTGCAAAATTTGCTGAGTGCCATACCATAGCGTCGCATGTTATCGATCTTATTTTTGTGTCCACCTATAACTTTAAATTGTTAACTGTTTAGCTGTAAATCCTGACTGTCAATGTTAAGTCGTCTACACATTATTATGTGTCATCGGCAAGGTAAGAAGTGCCCGGGGGCATGGGTATTATATTCTCAACACGATTGAAAGGGGGGGGGGGGCAGAAAGTGAAAGTCGTCGCCAGAGGAGACAGGTACGAAAAACTTCACACATTCGGTCCATTTATGTTCTGACATTACATTGCATATATATATATATATATATATATATATATATACAGAGCCGGATCCAGAGGAGGGGGGGGGGGTCATAACCCACTGGAGAGGCCCAAAGCCGGCTGAAGAGATATAGTTTTTTAACACAAAATGCACCAAAATATAACGTTTCTGGGCTTCCAGGCGACTAAGAGTAATCGTGGGCGAAAGTGAGATGCCCACGAATAGACAAAAATAATTATTCACTGATTGAGAGGGGCCTGATTGGGAGATTCCAACGCCCTCATGCTGTCTAGAGACCCTATGCTTTTTCCGGGACCTATATGGCCATAGCAAGGTCAATTCAATCGTTAAAGATCGTTCAGGGGCCCTCTGCATTGCGTCTTGGATATTGTTTTAATGCAGGGTCCTACGCCCTTGTCGGGGGTCCCATTTATCAACCCGCTCGGGCACACCTGATCGTTCGGGGGCCCTCCACATTGTCTCGGGTACTTCCTGTTTGAATTGAGTGTCCCACGCACCGGTCGAGGGGCCCCTCTGTTCGCCACCTTGGCTACACAGGATTGTTTGGGGACTCTGCACGTATGGCATTTCAATGTAGGGCCCTACGCTCATATCGGGACCATCTGATAACCTGCTCGGGTACACTCTATCTTACGGGGGCCCTTCGCACTGGGTTTTGGGGAATTATTATTTGAATGGAGGGCCTGACGCTTTTGTCTGGCCCCTTTTGATAGGCGGTTCGGGTACATTCGACCGTTGTGGGACCTCTACATCGGGACCTGGGTATTTCTTACTTGAATGGATGGTCCTATGTTCTTGGCTGGGCCCCATCTATTCAGCTGCTCGGCAGAGGTAAACGAGTGTCTTTTCTGTCCCTGACAAAATTTGGAAAAGCCTGAATTGTCACCTGTAGCTAAACCTAACAAAAACCGTCATCATATAAGTATAAATGCGGTAAGGCACACGAAACATATACAAATGAAGTGCAATGAGTCATAAACATCACTAATAATTTCATTTGGGATGGTTAATTCGCATTAAAGCATCATTTACTGGCCATGCCAAAACCCCGGTGGCTACGGTGTAGGTCTTTGTGTACGACTGGCTTGCGCAGCGGGCCCAGGGCCAGTGAGCACATCGGTTCGGTTCAAACACAAGGCGTCGCATGTACAGAGAAAAGAGAGAACTATTTTGTCAGCGGCCGCATCGCAACCATAAATGGCAAGTAATAAACCTTAGGCACCATCTCACGACGTACTGGGGCAATGCCAGAGTTGGAGAA